AGGAATGCCTTCAGGTTGTTAGTTTTAAGTAGGAGGAACAGCAACTTTCCCACGACCGAGGGAAGAAGGTGCTGTGGGCAAGGACTTTATGTGGTAGGAGGGCCAGGGACAGCCGTCGGCTGTGTAAGACCGCTCACCGGTGCAGATGTGTTTGGGAGAAGGAGCCGGCTCACGTTGGCAGCTGTGACGAGAGGGTGCAGCCAGCTGGGACCCAAAGCTCCACAGCAGACAGAATTTGGGGGGGTGAGGCCCAAACTCCTGAGAGCCTCCCCTGGTTAAAGCTGCTCCAACTGTAAAGACAAGAGCATAGGGAGCCGAGGGCTGGGGTCTGGCTGGAGGGGACCGGGAGAGACCCTGTCCATTTACGGGAAGACAAGCTAACCCGGGATCTGTCCCTTTCCAAGCAGAGGGGCAGCGATCCCAGCGCAAGTGCCCCTGGGATGGGGTGAGCTGGGGGGGCTTGCCGGTGGGGCTTCCCTCGCCGGCCTGCTGTTTTTGTGTCTGTATTTTGCCCTTGCTTGTTCCCTGTAACCGCCGCGTTGGGAATGACGGTGGCGTGGCTAAGCCTAGTGCCCTCTGGTCCCTGTGCGATGCTGCACCATAACTGCATGGCTTGAGACTCACAACCACGCGGACACACCACTTTGCCTCTGCATCCTGTCCCGTAGCCGTGGCTCAGCCCGGGAGGGGGCCCTGGTCCGCAGCGGGCACCCGGCCCAGGGGGAGGAAGGGAGCGGGCTGGGACGATGGGCAGGGGGCTTGCAAAGAGCGCGAGGAGGGACAAAAGGACTGTGCCCTCTCCCCAGCGTAGCCTGACCCCATGCAGGCAGCCCCGCAGGCTGTGTGCCCTCATCCAGGGGCTGCCCGCGTTTGCCACCTCTCATACCAGGGCCAAATCCCGGCACCTCTTTCCAATCAAGTGTTTTTGTGGGGTTCCCCCTCTTCCTTCCCTGACTTTTCCTCCATAAGAAACTGCCCCGGCCTCCAAATTCCTGACACACCGACTTTTGATCTGTGTGTGCATCCGTAAGGACCCCACATCCAGATGACTCCTGCCCCCATGCTGAGCCTGGCGCAGCCCCCCCCTTCTTGCAGTTGCTCTCCAGGGCTCAGCAAAGACCCCTTCCCCGCCATCCTCCAAGCCCTTGGCCCTAGGGAACCCAGAGTAAGTCCCATCCCATCCCACCCCAGCCCCTGCCAAGCCCTGGGGCGGGATGGAGCGGGGAGGAGGAGGAGGAGGATGGGTGCATCGCAGCGCTTTAAAGAACAAGATGACAAAGTTTGTTGCTTTGCGAGAATGTGCTGACTGTTTGTTTCTTCCCTTCTCCCTTGTCTCCTTTCTCCCCTTTCCCCGTCCCCCCCATCTTTCTTCTCATTTGGCTCCCCCCCATCTCCCGTCCCCTCTCTCCTCCCCCTCCCGTTATCTCCCAGGGCTAATCAGTTGTAGGAGCCAGTCGGTCCAAGAGAATTCCAGTACCAACATGGGGTTGGAGGCAATAATTAGGAAAGCCCTAATGGGTAAATATGACGAGCAGTGGGAAGAGCGCTCACCTCTCAGTGCCAATGCTTTTAACTCTCTGAATGCCAGTGCAAGCCTGCCCGCTGCTATGCCCATAACTCCTGCTGATGGACGAAACGAGGACGTGCGCTCCTTGCCAGGTCTGCAGCCCTCTCCACCTTCGCTCTCTCTGTGTTATTAATTCTCAGCTTTTATATTTCCCCTTTTGTGGGTGGATTTATTCCTCCCCCGCCGTTTTTGTTCATTTTGGTTTTCTTTTCTCCCCTCCCTCCCCCAGCTTCGAGCTTCATGAATCCGCTGATTAATCCTGGTCTTGTTTGATGTTAATTTAATAGTCTCGGAAGGTGCTGTTGCTTACTCTAAACCACTGACTGTGCTCCTTTCCCCGTTTGTTGGTTTTTTAATATCTCCTTTTCCTTTTTTTTTTTCCCCCCCACACCATGGAAAGGTTTATGGGGGCGAAAAAAAACCCACACCCAAAACACTGAAACCATAAACTTAAATAGCCACCCCAAGCTGTCCATAAACCCCAGGCTGCTTTGGAAATAGGGGAAGGAGCTGAGAAGGGCCGGCGTGGGGGGACATGGGGCAGAGTGGCCTTTCCCTCCCCACCCCAGGCTCGTGGGGGTGTCAGAGCCTGGGACAGAGGGTTGGATGGGACCTGGGGGTGCCTGGAGCAAGAGGGAGAGCTTCAGGGGGCTAAAGGTGATAGAGATGGGGTATGACTTGAGAGAGCAGGGCTGGGGGCTTGCTGCCTGGCTGTGCACCATGGCAGGGTCTGTCTGGCTTCGGGGGAGGCTTGGGCAGAGCCAGGAGGGTTATTCTGCAAAGCCTCAGTTAAGGAAGAGAGGAGGGGGAGCAGGGATGGATGCGGGAGAGCGTTTGTCCCCCGTACGCCTGCAAAGGGCAGATTGCCTCTTGCAAGCGCCCTGCGCAGAGCACGGCAGCCGGTGCCAGGGGTCACCCTTGGCAATCTGAGTGTGGAGCCCCTGCAGCTGAGGAGCAGGGTCCTGGGGGTATACGTGCGCCTTCCTCCAGGTCAGCTCAGACCAGGCACTCTTCAGCTTGTTGCAGAAAAGCTTTTCTGGCTCCTGCATGAAACCAGCAGCTTCCATCCACACTTCCCCACACCTGGCGGAGGTTGCCCGGGCAGGCAGGGTGGGATGCAGAGCGCATCCATCCCTCCCCCTTTGGGAGCTCCCCCCAGTTTAGCCAAGCTAACCTACCCGGCAGAGGCCGTTTTAGCTTTTAAAAACTGGCTAAACATCACCAGGGATTTTGCTGTAAAAATTTATTAAAGACCATCCTAGCCATCTAGACCATGGGAACGGGGAATGTTCTCAGGGCTCCAGCACCCACATAGCTCCCAGGGAGTCCCTGCCAACCTGCTGCACAGCGGCATACGGAGCTCCCGTCCCTTGACCCATGTTTGTCGGCTGAGCCACGAGCCAGCTCGGGAGCAGACCCCGCAGAGAAACAGCCTGGCCAAAGCTGAGCGGCTACTCCTGCCCCAGATCCACTCCATGGGACGGTTGGTAGCATCAACCCACAAAGTGGAGAGCGGCACAGGAGAGGACAGAAACCTCCTCGAGCCGCCACAACCGCCCGCCCGCCCCGCTGCGGAGAGCTCACCCCATCACCCTTCCCTGCTGTGGTGCTATCGGCCCCTGGGGTGAGCTTTTCTCCTGCCACAAGCCATTTTTGCAAGCTCTTAAAAAGGAAGCGTTGGGTGCCTGCAACCTCTCCCCGACCCCCCAAACCCCGTCGTGATGAGCTGGGTGACGAGCGGGCGCTTCTCTTTGCAGGAGGAGGAGGGAAGCCAAAGATCGCTGCCAGACCCAACAGCCGCAAGGCCAAGTCCCCGGCGCCAGGTCTGTCCTCGGGCGAGCGGCCGCCCTCTGTCTCCTCAGTGCACTCAGAAGGGGACTGCAACCGGCGGACGCCCCTCACCAACCGCGTCTGGGAGGACAGGCCGTCATCCGCAGGTAGGGCTCAGGGGGACATGTCCCCGAAGCGGCTGTGCCACCCTCAGGGGGCTGCAGGGGTGCAGCCACCCCCCCCGGCGTTGACTCTCTGCTTCCTCCTCCCCGCGCAGGTTCGACGCCGTTCCCCTACAACCCGCTCACCATGCGGCTCCCCAGCGGGGGGGTGACAGCAGCCCCCACCGCCCCCCTGCCGCAGGGGACCCCCAGCAGCCAGCACCACGCCTGGGACGAGGAGCCCAAGCCCCTGCTCTGCTCCCAGTACGAAACCCTTTCGGACAGTGAATGAGGCGAGCCAGGGGCAGGGAGACGGTGACCAAACCCAGGGCGCGGGGAGCGAGCGTGACGCCTGGGGCGAGCGCCCACCGCCCCAGCCCCGCCGGCTCTCAGGAGCGAAGACGCAGGAGCAGAGCTATTTTATTTTTTCCTTTTCCTATTTTTTTTTTTCCTTCCCCTCCCAACCAGCCAATTTGAGGGGATGGTTTTTTTTTATTTTTTGTTTGGTTTTTTTTTTTCTTTCTCAACATCTGGAAATTTCTGCATCCTCTTCGGTCTGGAAAAAAAAAAAAAAAAAAAGAAAAAAGCCTTAACAAGACAAAACCCAAGGAACCCATCTTCGATCTTGGCAGCCTTGCTGGGCGGTGACCCCCGCGCTCGAGAGGGACTGTGAGCGGCCACGCGCCTGAAGCGCCCACGTCCCGGGGCCACGCGCGTTCGGACGCTCTACCAGCGCGCTCCCACGGAGTCGAGTGAGGGGCTGTGGGATGCTCCTGTGCATCCCGGCCATGGGGCCGTGCTGCAGAAATGCAAAACCTTGAGCAGGTTAAAGAAAACAAAAAAACACGTTTAAGAAGTGAAATAGGATGGAACGCCCCGGTTTGGTTCCCCCCAGCTGATCTGGCGGCTGGCAGCCAGTCATATCCACGTCACAAGACGTATCAGCCCCGCAGCAGTCTCAACACGCTTCAGACGTGGCTGGGGTGAGCGGGCAGGGGAGGGAGTGAAAAGCCA